GGGGGGCAGTAGTTCCCCCCCTCATTCTCACTATGGCCCCCACCCGCCGCCCAGGGGTGGGGGCGGGGGGGGGAGTACCCCCCCCCCATTCTCATTATGGCCCCCACCCGCCGCCCAGGGGTGGGGGGAGTACTGCCCCCCCCCCTCATTCTCACTGTTTAGGGGTGGGGGCCAATAGTTTTTTTTTGTTTTTTTTTACAGTGAGCAGCCACAGGCATTAGGGGCATTTGGGAGATTTTTATCTCCCTTGTGCTATTATGGGGGTCATATTGACCCCCATAGAGTGAGAGGGGGACCTGGGGGGGCTTATGAAGTGGTGGGGAGCACTGCTCCCTGCCGCTTCTATAGTTACATATTACAAGGAGGGAGCTGCGTGCCGGTAGCTCCCTCCTTGTAATAACCTGCACGAACAAACTAACACTGATACATTGTGTTTGTTTGTTCGGCTGATCTTTCTATTCACTCATTCGTCTGTCTGATGGATGAATGAATAGATGAAATTCCCGTTCGCATGTCCAGGTGTTTCACTGGGCATGTGCGGGAATCTCACAGTCTGCCTAGTGTGGGCTGATGACGTGTCCCACAGGGACTTCACCTACCCACACAAAGATGGCGGCGCCCTGAATATAGATCGGGGCAGAAAATAAAGATTTAAAAATAGGTAATGTGGGGGGCTTAGGGGCATTTGGGGGTGACTAGTGGGTCAATTGGATGTAGTGGAGGCGGGAGGGGGGTTAAAAAAAAAAACAGAATTCGGCATGACAGTGCCGCTTTAAGATAAGACAACAACTTTGGAATTATTCAGTCAGTAGTCCTTAAGGGATTAATTTGTCTTGTTTTAGGTCTGGAAAAAAAAAATGTCTAAGCAAAATGTAGAAAGAAAAATAATTATGAATTATTTTAGTACATTTAGTTTTTTTTTATTACTTTTGTTTTTTTGGGGCTCCCCTAACTGTTATTAGTGTGCATATGTGTGTGTGTGGAGGAGTACGTGGGACTTATTTGGGAGTATGCCTAGAACCTTGGAGCCCCGGGAGATGCTCAGATAATTAGCCATCTTCTGGGCCCAGAAATATTATAAGGTCCCGTGAGACTTGGCAACTCCTAGACCCCATTAGGGTCTAAATATTATAAAGGCACCAATATAAAAGAAAATACATGTAGAAATTACAGACAATATGAAAACATTCTTTCTTGTAAAAATCTTTCATATCAATGTGTTTAAATTATGCAGAATCACTGTTCAAAATGAAGATCTTGTTTCTTTTGTCAAGTTTTCAATAGTCATCTTATTAATGGAGTTTCATGAGCTTCCCAGATCATAAAAAAGACATTTGTATATATCATATGCATATCATATATCTGCTCTATGAAAGTAATAATTAAAGTGACATTACTATCCAAAAACTCCTCAAATATATACCGGTGGTCACCTCCAAAGGGGTCTCTGAAGCTGAGGGAATCTGATCTGGGGAATCTGATCTAGATTCCAAGCTTACATAGAAAAGACAAAAATTGGGAATTGGGGACATTAATTTAGCAAGAATGGTGCTGCCGTAGTGACCAAAATTCATACATAATACAGATTAAAGAACAGCGCACACATAAAATCACCTATCTCAGCAAACAAATATGGGATTTCAGTTCCACCACATGGCCATATTGTGTTAAGGCCACTACTACTTCACAGTACCCCAATATCAGTGGTTCCTACACGAATAAAGTAGTTTAGTGCTAAATAAGCTAAAGTGTATCCAAAGGGGGAGACAAATTAAATAGTGTTGTTCTAAATAAGCTAAAGTATAAGCTTCCTAGATCAATCATTAATTACTGATTGGTTTACATACTAGTTTAATGGAGAATTTGCAATTTATAAGACTTGTTCTGCATTAATTTAAAAAAAGAAACAAACAAAAAAAAGATCAAACCGGATTTGTTTTGGGTAGAGATATGATACATAATATACGCAAAATATTAAATATAATTGCTCATCTAAACATACATAAAAAAAAGGAGTTAGAGGTCTTAATATATGTTCAGAGCAACATAAAAGTATACTATATGGGGATGATATCCTGCTTACCCTTTACGATCCTTTGGAGTCAATACTGGTTGTACTCAAATTGATACAGGAATATGGAGGATACTCTGGATGTAAATTAAATATTAGGAAGACCCAGGTCCTAAAATGTAATTTAACTACTGAACAAGAGGATAAACTAAATAAAAATACTAATTGGAATTGGTCAAATAATAATACAGAGGTGGGGAAGAAAAAGAAAGAAAAGAGAGAGAAAAGAAAAAAAGGGGGGTTAAAATAAATAAATAAAAAGGGGGGAGGGGGCAAAGAAAAGTCTTCATAGCTCCAGGGTGGGCCCCCGCGGCAGCTCCCCCACTCTCCCTGCACAACGCGCATGGTTCCTCATTGCAAGTTATCCGGCTCTTATGGTGATCCAATGGGTTTCTCGTAGACACTGATCCTGGGCCCATGGCAGGAATTCACACCAATTGGTAGTTCCATCGGATTGCCTTGTTATCTTAGGTGGGTCTACTGTTTTTGGCAGAGTGGGTGTTCGACGTTGATGGCTGGGGAGCCGAGTCTGAGTGTGTAGGTGGCATAAGGTCTCTTTCTCTGTGGGAGATGCAGGTAAGCAAGGGAGTCCAGAGTAGAGTGCATCGTTCGGTTTTACCCCGTACATCAGCTGTAAGGCTTTCCATGCTGTGGATCGTTTCCACACGTTCCATCCATTCCTTGAGCATTGGTACATCTGGTTTACCCCATGTTGCAGATATGAGTGCTTTAGCGGCATTTAAGAAGTGTCTTGTTATGGTTTTTTTTATACGCGGAGATAGGGAGTTTTGTGTGGTGGAGCAGCATCGGTAGCGGTTGCAGTTCTATGTCTGAGTCAGTTATTTCTTTGATTAGGCTGTGTGTTCTTTGCCAGAATGGGGCTATCTCCAGACAGGTCCACCAGATGTGTAGGGTGTCCCCGGGTGTTCGCTCGCATCTCCAGCACTTGTCTGAGTGATCCAGGAAAATTCTGTGCAGTCGAGCTCGGGTTCTGTACCAGCAAGTGATAATTTTATAGCTGAGCTCTTGTATTTTAGTGTGTACCATTCCTTGTTGGGCCAGTTCATGTACCATTTCTCATTTCTCCCACTGGTTATCAGTTAGTGTGGCCCCTGTGTCCCTTTCCCATGCCGACATGTAGGCCATCTGTCTTGGTTTGGAGGCCATCAGGAGTACAGTATAGAATTAAGTGTGTCCTAGTGGTGCAGAAACTCTTGAATGTGGTGAGAGCTCTCGGAAGAGCCAGGTAAGGAACTGAAATGGTGCGCAATTTGGTTGTAGCGGTATTTCTGGAGTCCCGTGGGGGCTCCTTCTCCAAGTAGCGTGGTGATGGTTTTAAGATTGGGGCCGTCGTTCCATTGATGGAAATATATCCAGTCCAAATCCCTAAAGCCTTTCATGTCTGATGGTGACAATCCCCTGGCAACCTCTGTGTTGTGTGTGATTTGAGTCAGAAGTGAAGGGGTTGTCGATAATTGAAGTGTTCGTCTGACTAAGCACCAGACTTTCAGGGTTGCGCTAAGGAAAGGGTATTCATGAGCAGCTGTGTTTTTCAGTGGGCCGGGCAACCGTGGTAGAGCGGGGATGGTACCGTTCACCTGAACCTTCTCCAATGAGATCCATGGTATGTTGCCCTATAGTACATCTGGATGGATGGAAGATCCACTCCACCCAGGTGTCTCGGCATGGTTAGGTGTGATAGTTTTATCAAGGCTGAGCCGATGGACTGGAAGAAGGCTCTCGGGAGGGCTATCGGTATTGTTTGAAATAGGTAGCAGGTTCATTTTATGGCGTTGATCCGTCCAAACCAGGAGATGTAAATCCCTTCCCATCTCTTCAGATCTGCCTGTAGTGTTAGGGGTATGAAGTTTTCAGTGTAGAGCTGATCAAGATGCTTGGTCAGCCATATGCCCAAATATTTTATCTGTCATGTGTACCATTTGAACTGGAATTGTGAGTCAAGGGTTGCAACCTCCCTCTGCGGAATCATCAGGGGAAGTGCTCTGGATTTGTCCAAGTTCAGTTTGAGGTTTGTTAACTTGCCATATGTGTCGAAGACCTTCAAAAGATTTGGTAGGGAGACAATAGGTTCTTCTAGGAAAAAGAGGAGGTCATCGGCGTAAGCTGCAACCTTATGCGTCATACTTTTGTAAGTGAACCCCAGTATACCCCCGTCCCATCTGACCGCCTCGAGAAAGGGTTCCAGAGAGAGGGCAAACAGAAGGGGGGACAGTGGACACTCCTGGCGCGTTCCGTTGTGGATTGTGAACGGTTGCGATAGGACTCCGTCGACCCATATTCATGCACTGGGTTCCGTATTGAGTGAGTAGATCTACGTGCACATATGGAGATCAAGTTCCATCATCTGTAGTGTCTGAAGCAT